CAATGTCAGGCTCCTCAGGTCACAGGCTAGGTGGGCAGGCTCTCTACCTGGATACGATTGCGCCAGTAACAGTGGCAGTAGGGGTGGGAGTTGGGCCCAGGGTATCTTAGAAGGCGTTGATGTTTGCTTTGTTTTGATGTACAGCCATACAACTCTGGAATATGATTCTGGGTTCATCAACTCAGGGATGGCCTCCAAAGGGGAGTCAGGAGATAGCCCCAGACAAAGGAAAGTCTAAATTAGTTCTTCTAAAGATACAGTCACATCTATTATCTTTGATCTCTGCCTAACCAATTCTGCCTGAATCTTTTGGGAACCTTAAGACTATTCCTCCTGGGATTCAAGCTCAAAGTTAAGTGGAATCAACTCATGAGGTAGATCTGAGCCTATCTTTTTAAATTTTTAAGTACAAAGAGCTAACATTGTTGCTGTGGTAATGTAGATATCTTGAATGACTCATTCAAGGAAGTTCACTTAGTCCAGTGGTTGGCAAACTCATTAGTCAACAGTACAATGATTGAAATTTCTTTTGAGAGCCAAATTAAAAAAAAATATATATTTTATTGATTTCTTACAGAGAGGAAGGGAGAGGGACAGAGAGCTAGAAACATCGATGAGAGAGAAACATCGATCAGCTGCCTCCTGCACACCCCTCACTGGGGATGTGCCCGCAACCAATGTACATGCCCTTGACCGGAATCGAACCTGGGACCCTTCAGTCCGCAAGCAGATGCTCCATCCACTGAGCCAAACCAGTCAGGGCAAGAAAGCCAAATTTTTTAAACTTAAACTTCTTCTAACGCCACTTCTTCAAAATAGACTCGCCCAGGCCATGGTATTTTGTGGAAGAGCCACACTCAAGGGGCCAAAGAGCCACATGTGGCTCGCGAGTCGCAGTTTGCCGACCACGGACTTGGTCCAATTTAATGAAGCCTAAATTCTTCCTGTACTGAGGGAAACACAGGTGGCACATATTGAGACAGTATTTCCAGCCCAAGAGCGAGAACCTTGGGTGAATTTTCTCAATGGCTCCTATAGATCTGCTGATGACTCATCTTGCTCTCTCAGATGCAAGGAGGCAAAAGGCTGAGCCTAGTTGTTGAGATTTTTATATTGAATTCCACTTGGGATCTCCCCTAGGGACAACCCTTTGTGATTATGGGTTGAATTCCCAAGTTTAGGTGATTCAGTCATTCATTCTTTGGTAAATGTTTATTGAGTGACTAGTACATGCAAGACAGAATAAATCAAACTTGAGATCCTAGAGATCATTGATTTTCTTAAAAATTTTAAACTTCCGATTCATGAGTTTTTAGGATAAAAAGGAAATAAGTCATAGACTGTTCAAGAAACAATGATTTATTATGCTCTGGAGGAGAATATTGAATTCTAAAACATACTGATATCTGTAAACACATTTGGTAATGAGACAATATAATTTTTATGAGAACATATATAACCATGAACACTGAGATCCAGCCTCTTTTGAATTCGTAAATAAGAATTTTATTCATACTAATTATAATGGGAGTGACATATGTGCATAGAGGGAGTCTGTGGTTGAAGGCCCAGCTGATTAGGAGCTGTGTTTTGTGGTTTTTGCCACTTGTGTGTGATTAAACCCTACAGAATAGAGTCTGTCCCTGTGCATTTGGTTTACAGAAAACTAGTAACATGATATGGAATTAATGATCCAGTTTCTCAAAAGGGGAGACTATTGGCCTAACACCTTCCTAAGTTGTAGCTGTCAACATGTTTAGTTTGGTTCTAATGGGAGCTAGGCTGGAGAAAGGAAAAGTTTGGTAGGAAAAGTTATGTGATATTAATAAGAACCACATTCCGTTTGATGTTCTCTCAAATTATATGTGCTTTATCTTACTAAAAATTGAACCATTCAAAAATAATAAATCTTTCTTTCCTATGGCCCACAAGTGATCAACATTTTGGATGATCAAAAAAATTTTGTCCTAAAGATATCCCCACTTTTAGCTCAGCTTTATTTGCTGGTGCTGATTTATAGCTGAAAGCATCACTTCATATTTTTTGCAAGCATCAAAGTCATAATGTGTTTTACAAATACTCAAAAGTACTTAAAATCCATGAACCTCTGTATTCCTTTTTTAAAAAATTCTTCTATAGGAATGTATTCAAATTGATTAAACAGATGGCTTTCTATTTTTTGAAGAAAAAAAAAGGCTAAGAATATTTCACCTCAAGATGGAGAACTTGTAGGTTAAATTTCATTCTGGAGTGCACTTTTACAACCAGGTAATTAACCTTTGAAAATGAGGGTATTTGAAGGAAACAAGGAAAATCTTAAGATGATTTCATTAACATTGGTTTGGTGGGCTTGTCAGAGCAGAGATGCTCCAGAAGGCTAGTAATGAAAGACTGAAATATTTTACAAATATGTTTTCTCTCTCTATTATGATAATCTTAGGAGATAAAGACTTTAAAAAGTATTTCTTTATAACAGTGGGAATTGGCACAAACGTTTTTGGTGGGAGAATGGAGGTGCCAACGTTAATTACTCATTTTTAAAATAGTTATGTTTGTTGGGTGCTTACCATGTGTGGAAGTCACTTCAATGCTTGTAAAGGGATACAGCAAATTATAACATGTACAATCTGCCCTTTAAGCTTATAATTTAACTAGAGGCCCAGTACACAAAATTCGTGCAAGAGGGCGGGGGCGGTGAGGGGTCCTCAGCCTGGCCTGCACCCTCTTGCAATCTGGGACATCCCTCTTGCAATCTGGGACTGCTGGCTCCTAACTGCTCACCTGCCTGTCCTGATTGCCCCTAACCACTCTGCCTGCCTGCCTCATAGCTCCTAACCACTCTGCTTGCCTGCCTGATTGCCCCTAACCACCTCTGCTGACTGCCTGATCTCCCTAACCACTCGCCTACCTGCCTGATGCCCCCTAACTGCCCTCTGCCTGCCTGATCACCCCTAACCTCTGCCTGCCTGCCTGATCACCCCTAACCTCTCCTGCCTGCCTGATCACCCCTAAATTGCTTGCCTGCCTGCCTGATCACCCCTAATGCTTCTGCCTGCCTGATACCCCTAATGCTACTGCCTCTGCCCTACTGCCGTCGCCCCCACTGCAGTGGCTTCATCCGGAAGGTTGTTCAGCTGTCCAGTCTAATTAGCATATTACGCTTTTATTATCATCGATTAGGCTGAGAGGGAATGGATTAATGAAAAGTTAAAAGGAAAATATAGAAGGAATAATAGTAGGGAATGTTGAGGTAGCCCATGATTGTTACCTGAGACATTGTGTTAATAACACTAACTTAAAAGAGAGATCATTATGGGATGAATAATAAAGAGTGCCTCTCCTTACAACTTACACTAAATTTTGAGAGACAGACCAATTTTGGAAATGAAAATTTGGGTACTTGAAGACAGAAGAATTACCCTAGAAGGGAGAAGAATTTTATTTTGGAGCCAGACAGATCTGGGTTCAAATCTTGATTCCATTGCCCTATAATATTGGGAGGTTATTCAGCTTTTCTGAGCATTATGTGGAAAATGGGTATAATAATGCCTACTTTATTATTTTTCAGGATTAAATAAAATAATGTAGATAACGTGAAACATGGTAATCACTCAATAAATGCTAATACCCTTAGTTGGAGAGAACATCCTAGACAAACATGAAATAAGGAGAGAGCTGACCCTGTCTATGGGCAATGAGAAGATTATTATGAGTCTTGGCAAGAATGATTTAGTAAGAAAAGTGAGATAATGTGAAAAGATACATTAGAATCAGAGTCACTCACTTGTTTTCTCATTCAATAGTTTCTTGAGTTCCTTTTATGTGCGAAGTCCTCTCCTAGTCATGGGGATGCAAAGACAAAGAAGATTTACTAGTAGCCTTGCATTTCTGTTGGATGCCAAATAAGGAGTTGCAACTTTATGCAGAGGGAAATTTTATTTTTCAAGAAGGGAGGAGCTTGAAACTGGTGTTTTTGGATGGTTAACTAAAATATATTTATCCTGACCCAAGATATGAGTGTAGTTGTCATTTCCTAGTGCCTGCGATCCTGTTGACCAGGATTCTGTTATAGCTCATTCCTATGATGGAGAGTCCACTCAAATGAGTGAAGAGGAAGAGTTTATTGGTGGAACTTCATCTCATCCTGAGAAATAAAACCTTAGCACTGAAACTGCTCATAATCCACTCGTGTTTAAACTTCTCACCTAATCTGGAATTTTCTACATTTAGCGAGTATTGTATTAGGCACACGGTCATGTGACCCTTAGAAGTTGGCACCAGAATAACTGTTTATTCAAGGCTAAGGAGAAATTTAAGAAACTAGACTTTAGTGACTTTCTCCATGATTGAGTGTCCTATGAGTGGAAGTCTCCTTCCTGTTAATAATCTCTGTAACCAAAGATCCTGTGACAAAACAACAATACACACACAAAACAAAACAAAACAAAGCAAAACAAAAATCCAAAAGCAAAAACAAACATAAATACCTAACCAAAAGTTGTAGATTGACTTTTTTTCCCCCCCATGAAGCTTTGCTTAGATAAACAGCTTCTATATCTTCTAGTTACAAATTCTTGGGTATTATTCTCACCTCTTGCTCTATCAACTGCTATTCTTATCTCTACTTACCTTTTTAGCCCAAGGCTCAGTAGAATACAGATCAAATGAGATGCGGAATATGTTGCTGGAATCTTCTAATATATTCTGGTTAACTACTAATTTAAATGGCTAATTTCTTTATTTCAGGGTTGATACCATATTGAAATTTGCTACCAAACTGAAATAAAATTCCTTTTGAGGTGATCATGGTTTGTGCTCAGCTTGGAAAGCATCACTGGGACATAGGATACAAGATATACCAAATATATAACTGCTAACACCCTCCTTTATACTTAAGCACCAGCTTTATGCCCATTGTTACACATTATTTTATACCTGGCTTTGACACCCACACACAGACATCTATCTACATATCATTCAACTATACTTTTTGTGTGTGTGGCTGTTTAGCTCAGGTGGTCAGGGTATTGAGCTAATGAGAACAAGGTCACAGGTTCAATCTTTGTGTGGGCCAGCAAGGTTTGCTTTGTTCAGTGGTCACAGACAGACCTGGTCCAGCCAGCTGTCTAGCATATGTCTGCCCCAGGTCATAAGAGGACATGGCAGGAGTGTGTGGATGGACAAGAGCAAATCCATCACCACCATTAGAGAAAGCCAAGCCAAGCACGTGTCCTACTAATGGGGGTCAATAATGTCTCATTTAAATGAGGTTGACATTTTAATACCTTTTGCTGAGAGGGTCTTTTGAACACCAAGTTTAAACATTGTTGCTTTTTTTTTGGTGTGAATTCATTTCTACTAAATGGCAGGCTGTTCAAGATCTCAGATGATTACAGATTTCCAAATCTAGAGTAATGATTTAACATTTAAAAAGTTGACTTAGAATTAAAAAGGAAATTTCAGTATGGCTATTCAGTTACCTTCTCTTTTTCTTAAAATTTGTTTAAGCTAGTGAAATAAGAAAATAACCAATTCCTCAGAGAGTGATTGATAATCATCACCTTCATTTAAGAAAGCATTGTTATTAAACTTCCTGATAATTAGGCCATTAAAATGTTAGTGAAAAGCAGGTAAAATTAATTCTGTGTTATTCAACTTTTTGGCCATCATCCATCCCATCTTTCATTTCTAGGCAAACATGTCCCTCAAATTACTTCATTATTTAACATCGTGTCTTGTTAGATTTCAAACTGGATAAAAAATCCACTCCATTCCAAAGTGCTCTGCTGTAGCTGGGTCTTTGTGAGCCTTGAAAAGGCATTTGATACAGAAGAGGGGAGGGCAGAGCACTGCAGGGAAATTTGGCAAGAGAAGGATAGAGAATGATATATTGGGAATTCTTTTAAAATCTACTTATTAAATAAACATTACAACTGTGATAATGCAATATTATATTAAAACTAGAGGCCTGGTACATGAAATTCATGCACTGGGGGTGGGGGTGGAGGGGTGTCCCTCAGCCCAGCCTGCACCCTCTCCAATCTGGGATATCCTTCTCACAATTCGGGACTGCTGGCTGCCAACCGTTCACCTGCCTGCCTGCCTGATTGCCCCTAACTGCCTCTGCCTGCCAGCCTGATCACTCCCTAACCACTCCCCTGCCGGCCTCCCCTACCAGCCCGGTCCCCCCCAACTGCTCTCCCCTGCAGGCCTGGTCGCCCCCAACTGCCCTCCCCTGCTGGCCTGGTTGCCCCTAACTGTCCTCCCCTGCCAGCCATCTTGTGGCGGCCATCTTGTGATCACATGGGGTTGGCCATCTTGTGACCACATGGGGGTGGCCATCTTGTGCAAGGGCATGATGGTCAATTTGCATATTACCTCTTTATTATCCTATATAATAAAAGCCTAATCTGCTAAGTGTCTGGTCGTCTGTTCAACCAATCAAAGTGTAATATGCTAATGATATGCTAAGACTGCTCAACCGCTTGCTATGACATGCACTGACCACCAGGGGGCAGATGCTCAATGCAGGGGGAGCTCCACTCGTCCAGAAGCCAGGCTCACAGCTGGCAAGTGCAGTGGTGGTGGCGGAAGCCTCTCCCACCTCTACAGAAGTGCTAAGCCATCAGTTGAACATCCCCCAAGAGCTCCCGGACTGCGAGAGGGCGCAGACCGGGCTGAGGGACTCCCCCCCCACCCCACCAAGTGCACAAATTTCGTGCACCAGGCCTCTAGTATAGGACATAAAATACATTAACATATAAAATATATTTTTTGACTAGGTAATACATTTACAAGGTTAAAAACAAAAAAATATAAAATGATATAGTATGAAAAGTTTTTCTACTTCCCTTGTCTTTTATGTACCCAATTCTATCTCCTTTATATGGCCATTTTTATTAGTTTCTTATGTACTCATATGGAATTTCTTTATGCAAATATATCTTAAACTCTCCCCTCTTTTTATGCAAAAATTAACACATTATAAACATTGTTATTAATTTTGCCTTTTTTAACAGTATGTTTGAGAGCTCTTTCCATATATATGAAGAGTAGCCTTATTTCCCCCATAATTGTGTATTATTCCAATGAATAGATGTCCTATAATTTATTTATCCAGTTACCTATTGGTGGTCCTTGATAGAGTTTCTAATATTTTCTATCACAGACAACAAAGTAATAAATTATATTGGGAAATCCTATATAATAAAAGGGGAATATGCTAATTGACCCTCACACCATCACAAAGATGGCAGTGCCCACAGCCAATAAGGAGGGAATATGCTAATTGACTGCCCTGCCCTCAAAGATGGTAGCACCCACAGCCAATAAGGAGGGAATATGCTAATTGACTGCCCTGCCCTCAAAGATGGCAGCGCCCACAGCCAAAAGGAGGGAATATGCTAATTGACTGCCACGCTCTCAAAGATGGCAGTGCCCACAGCCACAAGATGGCGGCACCCAGTCCCTTCAGCCCTGCTGGGGCGGCAGGTGCACGGCCAGGCCGGGCCTGCCCCCAGGTGGGCCCAGCCACTCTGCACACCTACCTCTGGAGTCCCACAGTTCCCTCAGACCCCCAGCCGCCCAGGGCCGCCTGAAGCTCAGGTAACCAGGGTTGGCTCAGGCTTGCGCTGCTGGCAGTGGCAGCAGCAGAGGTGTGATGGGGGTGTTGCCTTCCCCTGATCGCCGGGTTGCCTCCCGCCCCTGAGGGCTCTCGGACTGTGAAAGGGGGCAGGCCGGGCTGAGGGACCCCTCCTCCAGTGCATGAATTTTCATGCACCAGGCCTCTAGTGTATTACATAGAGAGCATTTTCATTCTCTTTTAAACACATATCATGCCATTAAATGAATATATCATTATTTACCCAGATCCCTATTGGTATACATTGAGTTTCCACTGTTTTATTTTTATAGACAATGTTTAATGAATAACCTTATATGTGTATTATCTTATACATGTGCAAGTAAATATGTAGAATTAATACCAAAAAGTCAGGTTTTTAGTAAAAGTAGAAATTTTAATGAAATAAAAGTCATAAAAATTTATCATCACATTATACAATTAAATATTTTCATTTTCCAAGTTACCTTTATGAGTTAGTTATTTGTCTAGATGTAGAATACACATTATTTTATTTTTTACACTTGACATTATAATATAGACTTCAAAGGATATGGATTCTTAAGCTATAGCAAGGATTAAAAATCTGAGGGAAATCTGACAAAGAAGCACCTTTAGTGAAGTGTGATAGGGGTTATTAATGTCCTTAGGCACTGCCAGAGCCATAGAATACATTTAAAATTAGGAAAGCCCAGCTCTAGCTGGTTTGGCTCAGTGGATAGAGTGTCGGCCTATGGACTGAAGGGTCCTGGGTTCAATTCCAGTCAAGGGCGCATGCCCCAGTTGTGGGTTTGATCCCCAGTAGGGGGTGTGCAGGAGGCAGCTGATCAATGATTCTCTCTAATCATTGATCTTTCTATCTCACTCTCCCTCTCCCTTCCTCTCTGGAAAATATCCTATATAATAAAGCCTAATATGCTAAGTGTCCAACCGTTCGACCAGTCACTATGATGCATACTGACCACTAGGGGGAAGATGCTCCAACCAGCAGGCTAGCTTGCTGCTGGGGTTCAGCCAATCGGGACTGGGTGAGATGGGCTAGACATGCCCTGGAGCCCTCCTATGGTCCCTCCCCGGCCTTGATTGTGCACCGGTGGGGTCCCACGGCCTGGCCTGCGCCCTCTTGCAATCTGGGACCCCTTGGGGGATGTCAGAGAGCTGGTTTCCGCCCAATCCCCACAGGCCAGGCTGAGGGACCCCATCGGTGCACGAATATATATATTAAAGTTAGGAAAGCCTGGGAAGCTGACTTAATATTATAGAAAATGACTTACATGAGAAGTGTGAGCCCATGATAACTGCATGAGTGGAATGTTTAGTTATGAGTAATATTTTTCAGTGTGAATAATTTTCAGGTACTATTAGCTTTGAGAAAAAAAGTAAGGAAAACTCTTCTGTCACTGAGTTAGATATTTTATGAGAACACAAGTTAATGCTAACAATGATTAATACTAGCATGTACAATTTGAAAAATTTATTATACACCGGTAATTTTATTTATACCCAATTAAGAACAATACAAAGAATTCTAACAGTTATTTTAAATGAAGAAGCAATTTATGGAAGCAATAAGAAGAAAATAAGGTTAAAATTTAGAGAATGTCACCAGAGAGCACTTTCTTTAGTAGTTGTCAACCTGCTTTATACATTGACAGCATAATGTTGTAGTTAACATTGTTGTTGGACATCTCTTGTTATGTGTGATGAATCGGCATTTCCCTTTAAAGAAAGGACATTTAAGTGAGTCACAGATGGAAATCTGGGTTAAGGTGGGACCTGGATTATTTGGGGGCTGTAGCAATGGGATTCACTATGGAGTGTTCACCATTCATTCATTCATTCATAAATCCATTTATTCAACTCTGATTCATCATTCCTTGCCAGATTTCATATTTACTTGGCTCCTAGTGTGCTAATTATTGTGTTAAAACTCTGGAAAATATAAGAAGTACAAAGTATGGATCATACCTTAACAGTCTTGTAAGGAGATTAAGAAATTCATGGTAAGCACCTCAAGAATGATATAAAGTGCTATTGCAGCTCCACAGGGGAGGACATTACTTTAATAGGAAAGAGAGAGTGTATTGGTCCTGAAGGATAAGACAATTGGAGTAACAAGAACCCAACTAATAGATTTTACTGAAAAGTTTATTAAAAATCTACATTGACTGGTTCAATTGTCAGAAACTGATGAAATAAACTGCTGGCCCTGCCAGATGCCCACCTTTCCCTTAGGGCTAGGGGTGGTACCTCACTTCTGTAGCCCAGTTCCGTGTTGTCCACTGGGGCTGGGGAGGCTGTTGGGCAGAGGATTTTGGCATTTCTCCAGATGCACACAAGAAGCAGACTGCCTCAGCTATAGCTCATGATCCAAAGGCTCTTTATTTCATGGTTGATTAAAAATTTTTTAATTGATTGATTTTTAGAGAGAGAGAGAGAGAGAGAGAGAGAGA